GAGTTCCGATGAACAGTATCCGTACGAGAATTCCTGGACTCACATCGGTGGCGGTGCGTCTCCTCCCAGTCCCCACTTGTTCGGAGTCGCGATCACGGTAAACTTTGTGGCTTCACCTTACGTCCTAGTAATCCATCTGTCCATTGTTCTGTTCCTCTCTTTATCTCTCGGTTTAGCCGAAATGATTGAACTAACTAATTGTCTGAGCGGACATATTTTTATGTTTAGCGCCACTGACTTTTTCGTTATTTTCTTGATACGCGGTTACTATTACTATTATTATTTATATACATGCAATCTGACGCGTTGACGTACTTGTTTTATTTATGCACATATAAAACAACACACACCAGTTTATCCTGTACTCTATTTTCTGATTCTCTCGCCATGGGTCTCGCCGATACAAAAGGCAGCGTTGGCTGATTATCCGCTCCCGTCACAGCGCTTTGTTTGGCGCCCTCAATTTTCTTTCGTTTATACATGTGTTATTGTTACCGTTACTGTTGTATCCAAAGCGTTTCCCCGCCGCGCGCCCCAGTCACCTGCGAAACTGTGTGCATCTCTCAACTCTCATTCCCACACAATTGAGGCGTGATTGTATTGAGGTCTTTATATTTTTCTTTTTCACTTATCCATACACACACACACTTAGAAACTTCACCTTTTTGCAAAATATCCTCCTTACGATATCCATCCATCTACTTGCGATAACTGTTTCTGCCCCCCTCCCTGTATCAGCAGCTTCTGGTCGATCGTCAGATTGCGGTGGGGAAAGAAATACTCACATGTCTTTCCCCCCCTCGCCCACACACTTCTGTTGCCATCCAAATTCCTTTGGGCATTTGTTTTCTTACTCGTCTCGATCCTTCGTTTGTTTCTCCCCCGAGAAAAGGACAAAATGTGAGGGTCTCACTTTATATTATTCTATTCAACCCGAACAATCCGTCAAAATTTGGAGCAACTTGCGAAAAAATAATCTATATATATATATATATATATGCATGTATCTATTCCTATGTACCTAGATTAAACAAACATTCTTATTTTGACTTTATGGACACGAACACACGTCACGTCATACATTATGCATGTGTGTGCGTTTGCTGAATATGACATACACAAGTCCACACCTGCAGAAGAAAACCAGACGTCAAATTATCCATTTGTTTCTACAATACCCGCAGAGATTGTAATTTATCCTATTCCCCGTTGCCCGTGGTCGTGCTATCGATCTTGCAATTCACTCCCCCCCCCTCTGAGCACCAACATTTGTTGGTTTCTTACTCCAACTAGCATTATCCTAATCATCTTCGTTATAATCGTCATACCCCATGCTGATCAAGTATGTTGTCATTTTCACGATCTGGTTACCGATTCCGCTTATCCAGCAAACTCTCAAATGCCTGTTATTTTATACATACAAACAGACATCCATGTTCTTCAGTAAGACAAACCAACCTCTCGCCCACGCATCGTCCCCTTTCACTCGATCGTTTCCGGAAAGAAGTTGCACAAGCGCCACGAACAAGACTTCTGATGGAGGCGAGGTCCATTTGCCATTATTCTGATCTGGACACACCTCAACAGCGTTTCCGGTTCAAATCAAATGTAAAGTGGTGAATAAATTTCGTTCCGTGGTACAATTATTTACCCAATCCTCATATTTTCCATTTTTGTGTGGACGCAATTTTATTTCCACATACCCAGGCGCGATTTTAACCCCGCCACCCCCTGTTAAATCGCGCGACAGGTTTTATTTTTGGCTTGTTTTGACCCGGTTGTGTTTATTCCGGTTATATCAGTCGATAGGTCATCGGCTTTCCACCTGTTTAGAGCTCGATTCCGTCTAACCACCCACCCAGTCCCCCTCCCCGATCTTATGTTTCACGGTCTCGAGCCACACGCCTGTTGCACGAGCACACTGTGTCTGTGCTGGAAGAAGCGCCCATTCGTGTGCCTGACAAATCGGAATTTGTTCCCTGGCACCCGGTCCGATAACCGTTTTTTTTTCAGTCTCTCCGTCTCTAGACAAACCAAAAACTAGTCCTCATTTCCCTCCATCCCCCCCCCCTTTGTGGCTGTTTTTACCTTGGCCTCAATTAGATCTTATATACTTATCGATGGAACTGTGGCTTTTTTCGTTCGTTTATCTGGAGCGGTCTAATGGCAAGTGTGTACTACAGATCTAGCGTTCGTCCGTGTCTGATCATCGATTCGTGTGCTGTGCTGTTTTCAGTTGTATGAAATGAAACACCCCATAGGCTGCTGACTCGCTCCAGTCAGTCATTTCTCAAAAGGTTGGTTTGGTTGTTTGAAGGGGATGGAGGAGCTGAACTGTTGGTAATGGGCAAGGTGGTTCTGACTAGTTTGATTCGCGATTGGTTAGATCAGGCAGGGCTGATGTGCCGAAAGACAGAGTCATTGGATTTTGGACGAGCTATTTACGGGGTTAAGTAACCTCTGATTCGACTGATGTGCTTGTGCTGGTTTCTGTATCCGTCGAGATTTCCCTCAGTACGGTTAGTTTTTTCTTTATTACACACCTAGAGGTGAGGAACAGTAGACGGGGCGAACCACATAAGGCCCCGCTAGGTTAGGTGTGTTAATAAACCGGACCACAACAAAGCTGCCTACCACCAAAGTTAGGAGGCGATGGCGGGACTCGGACCAGAGGGTCCAAAGCACGCCGGTGATAGCGACTAAACCACTGCGCCACCACCACCCTGGAGCTCGCATCGTGTTCATTTCTTATCAATACAATTTTCGTACCGTTCTTTTGTTCAGTGACCAGGGGTAAACGTGCCATCCACGGCTGGAGAGGGCAAAGCAGTGCTTAAGGGTCAGTCATCCTTTCGTTCCGCATCTGGCAGCGAAGCGGCACCAGTGATGTTAATGCGCATAGTTTAGTCCGCTTAATCTAACATTAAGGGAGACCTGACCGATTTGTGTCCATTTTTTTATTACACGTGTTTGTGTGGTGATCAACAGACAGGGTGAACTCCATAGCCACAAAGTCCTGCTGTTCGGTGATGGACACCGGTAACCTTAGCCCCGCGGGACTTGGAGTGGCGAACCACATGAAGCCCCGCCAGGATAGGCGTGTTATTGACCCGAGCGACAGCTAAGCTCCCCGCCACCCATGCAAAACTCTTGAAGTGAAAAGGTCATTAACAGTTGCGTGATTCACTCAGTTCCGTTTCTATTATTGTCCATTCCCCT